ATATAAATATCAACTAATACTGAATTTGAATTTTTTTTTTTTTAAAAAAAAAAATCTGATTCTCTTAGAAAGCTTCACTAGCAGCCAGCCACACAATGTAATTCTTAAATTGTATAGGCAACTTCCGTTCCTTTATCCTTCTCTTTATTCTATATGCACTTTTTACTGAGAATTTATGTCCAAATACATAATATTATTCCTAATATTGATATAATATAATGTTCGTTCACACGTAGAAAACCTTTTATTAATTAGTCATTATAGAATAAAATATTTCTAAAATATCATGTCACGTGATATGAAGTAAATAAATTTTTTTATAATAAGTACGGATCTTGAGTCTAACTCAAATATATCAAAAATTAGCTGATGAGAAAAGAATAACTTAAATCATATTAAAAAATCACTTATCCCTTAAATTGTTAATGTGGGACTCTTTACACCCCTGCTCATGTCTAGCACTGAGTATTTGATGCGTAAATAATTTTAATATGGAAGCTCAATATCGAAAAAGAAGAATTGAGATGACTTCTGTTTTGATATCATATAAAGAAATAAATTTTAAGATTAACTTAATATTAAAAACTATCTCATAAAAAAGAGAATTACTCACGTTCGTATAAGAATTCAGATTCTCGTCATCCCACTTATATGGACGTTAACTTAAACAATAAAAAAAAAATACAATTTTTAGGATTTTCGTGGTACAATAAGGCAACAATATGCATTTACATTTCTTCAATTGGTTGAAAAGGAAATTGAAGCTCATGAACAACGATTTGGTCTATGACTATATCTAGTCTAGCGAGGATAATTAAAGAAGTATCAAAATTTAATTAGCTTATATTATAAAATAAAAAAAGATTAATTTAATGAGAAACTTTTTGCTCCATCAAATTAAATATTTGCGGTTCGCTACTCTTTTACTTTTATACTTTCCTAATTAATTATAAAAAACTACTTCATCTCACAATCCTTCACGATACCATCATAGATATACATATATTGTCATGGTATTACTGAAGATAAGCAGTCACACATATGTTCCAGTCGTAGAACATGTAGGGCTCCTCAATCCTTCATGATGTAGTCATAGTATATTATGGTATCATTGAGGAATGAATAATCCTTCATGGATACACTCATTAATCATACATGATACCCATCACAGTATATCTATATATCAGCATGATATATTTCATGATATCATC